CAATTCCTAATCCACCTCACTGTGGATGGACTGCATGGACAGTAGTATGTAACCAATTACAATGTAAGCGTATGTGTGGCTAGATGACTTAGCAGAAATGTAGTGGATAAATAGAGTGCTGTAACATGAATAAAGCGATTTCTGTTAGACTCATATTGAAGCCTTCAGGAGTCATGTCTGGCCTCCCGCAGTTTCTACTAGACGGAAAGTCTTGGTCAAAAATGGAGGCTCCCAGGCTTCAGTTGTTGAAGGATATGTTGCCAATTGTAGCTATTTTTTTCTGTTTTTTGACATAGGGAAGTTCTAGAAGATGGAAGGAAAGGGAGAATTTGAGTTGAAGTTATCATTCCGTAAGGTGGAGAGATGATCATGCATTGATAGGTACTTTGGTCTGGTGCATTGGCTGTGACAACAATAGTTTGGGATCAGGCTGGGATGTCATCTGACTGTCTTGGTCTCAGTCTGACCTGGAGAGGATGAACTATGTTGTCCTGATATGTTGCTGCAATATGATGTAGTTGGTCTTATGGTAAAAGATGTAAAAAACCAGCAGTGACAGGAGGGGGAAAGCAGAGATGTAAAAGACTATACAAAGGGCTTGAAGAGTAATCAGGTTGGAGCAACAACTCCTACCTTGCCTAATTTTGACAACTGCATATCTTCACAAATATGCTTATTTTATCTTTCTGGAGATATATTTATGTATGTTTATAAAGACATTCTCTTCTCCAGCCCTTACATCTGCCTTTTTAAAAATCCCAGAGAGCAGAGGATGGAATAACCTGTTTCTTCATTATTTGGTATCTGTTGAGGGCTCATTTCTCTTGCATATCAACCATTGTATCAGCAAGTCTTTTTGTTTGGGCAGATATTGTCTTTCCACCTTGTTTTCATTCTTCTTCTATCTGCATTAGTAAGTACAGAGTATTGCAGTGTTTGAACTCCACTTTGCACATGCTGAAAGCACATTCCGAGGGAGTCTTCTTTAACCAGTGATTATAAGTAGACTAAAGGAGAAGAAAAGCAACTTGGAAATTATTTATCTCTTTTGGAAACAAACAAACAAACAAAGTGTGGCCTAATAATTCTGAAGTCTCTGTCTGGAAAAGAAAAACAGTCAAGCAATAATTTATTATGAATTCAAAAAGGCATTAGTATCTTCTGCAGGCAGCCAAACTCCCTCAAATCCATTAATGCCAGCAGAAGCTAAATAAGGCCTCTATGTTGCAAAATAATTTTCATATCTCTATTTTTCTTTCAATTGTAGTTTTCCTTGACTTTTCTTTACAGTTCCTTATTTATCTTGTTTCCGGCTTAGAGCTCAGTTCTTTCAGTGGTTACCAGCTCCTGTGAATCTTTTGCTGTCACAGAATTCATGAGCATTCACACTTTTCTCTTGAAAAGTATAGCTTTTTAATCTTTCTTTCATTAGTTTCCCGTAATCTCATCAAGATTTGTTTTCTTTACAAGATTCAGAGATTTTAAAAGGATTGTATAGACCTCATCACTTGGGAATATAAAGGAAAAAGATTACAGGTAAGAAGGAAAAGATTATTTTTCCTTTATAAATTGTGTCTACATGTATTTTTGCACAATTGTATGTTTCTTGTACAGTCAACAGTTACTTATCTTTCATTTGCTTAAGCTTTTTTAAATATTTGCTTACAAATTCGCTTAAAAGATTGTATGCATACATGTCTGCCATTCTCCTGACTGGTGCTGTTTTTCTGTTTGTTTTAAGCGCATGAGAGATGTGTGTGAAGTTGATGTTAAATGATCTTTTTTACTACAGTGAGACTGGAAAGTAGATAATGAGAATACATTTATGACCTTTATTTATTTTTCTCTCTCTAATTGGGCTGCTAGTAGGAGGTGAAATATTCACAGTAAATTCAGGAAAAATAAATTTGGTAGCTTTATTTCTTGTGTTCTCTTTATACTGTGCTTCTATGCAAAAATGTGCACCTATGCTGAAAATAGAGAACGGCAATTGTTTGCACTGAAATTTAATTAAGACCTAGTGCTGCAAGAATTTGGTACAACTGTTTCCTGGTATCTGAGTGGGGCCTTGTTAAAGGCCATGGGATGCTGAGAAAGGGCTGTGTAGACAAATCTCCTACCTGAATTTATGACTTGAGAAACAAAAACTGGATATTATTCTATATTTGAGCAAACACATTTGAATAGTGCAACCATCTCCTCTCAAAGAAAATATTGCATACCTTGTGGGCTGCCTCGAGTTCAGAACATGAGCTAAAAGGCCAAAATATTTTGCTTGGAGTTTCCCAACAGATGCAAACAGGAAGTTCAGTAAATAACCCAACTGATTATTGCATGAGGCTCTTCCGCCAACGGGCATTTCACCTTTAGGTGGGAAGGGTAGGGGTTGACTTAATCTAACTTCATAATCTTTTCAAGTTCCCATTTCATCAACTACAGCCTCTTGTTCATGCTAACAGAATGGGTAGCAGTCTGGTTCCCAGAATGTTTCCTTCTGGGAAAGGGAACAAAGTTGTGGGGATTATTCTATGAGCAGAGCCAGGAATACAAGATTTGCTTTTTCCCAGTTCCCTATCTCTCTATCTGGCCATCAATTTGGGCATTAGAATCCAGCATATGGTTCCTAATATAAAGCAAGCCCAATAAAAGATGAATTGATGACATAATTGATGACATACATCAAAGAGAAACAGAGATTTCACAGATTTTCCTGACTTCTTCTTAGATTGTTTTATTTGCTATTTGCTCTGAATAAGTGAGAGCAGCTACATCATTGACTGTAGGCCTTGCACATCCCCACTAGCTGTTCTTTTTCCTCCTGAAAGAATTTGCATATTTTCCTGGCTTTGGGGAAGGTTTGGGGTCTGTTCACAGTAGTAGGGAAAAAAAATTGTTAAAAGAAATACATTAACTGCATAGGCCTTGGAGGAAGTAAATTGTTCTAACATGGCAAAAGTCAATTGCTCAAAGCATTTGAAAGCATGTATTAATGTAATTGGTGTTGCTGATGCAAAAATGTAGAAGACTGCTCAGAAACCATAGGTCATAATAAGAAAAATCTTCAAAGCTATATTTCCAACTTCCCCTAGAGTTATTTGGTGAATATCTCTTGTCCAGAAGTTTCATATCACTGTAGTTTAATACAGTAATTTTTCTTAAATTTCAGCTGGAGCAAGCAACAAAATGATCCATTTATTTCTATAACTTGTGAAATAAATGTCTGAGTTGATCAGGCAGCTGATCAGATTATCATTTACAAGTCCTGAAGACTTTAAGCATTTCTGATGGCTTAGATTTTGTTACAGAAGATTTTTAAAAAATGCATTAGCAGAGTCAAGAGAGATCAGAGCTAGAAAGCTTTTTTTTCCCGTTTTTTGGCACTGCAATTAGCTTAACTTTCTGCTTAGATGGGTAAAAGCAGTGCCTTTTGAGGTGTTATGCAGGAAATCTTGAATGATTGATGATACATATGTGTATCTCTGCAGTATACGTGTGTGTGTGTGTGTGCCAACCAGCAGCTGAAACCTGATAATCTCTATAGTAAATGTGAACTTTTTGCCTTCCCTACATTAGCAAAAGAGATAACAATTTGGTGCTCTGGGTTGAGATTTTGTGCATATCAATCTAGTACTACTTTGGGCTGCCTTTATTATAAGACTGAATTTGCTGGTGGAACTAAATTAATAGCAAATTAAAAAAATAAAAAGAGGATCATAAAAGTCATAGGTAAAATAAAACTATTCCTACATGACGGTTCATGTAATGTGGTAAGGCAGAAGAGCTGACAAACCCCATTCAAAAGCATGTGAATGAAGGTAAAATTGGTGCATGACTGAATGTGCAGTGACCTCGTGTCCTGCACTGCCAAGTGAAGACAGTTCTTTCTATGTCCTAAAATTTTTGTTCAGTCCTTTATTTCTTGTGCTTTGTAGTGAAAGTCCTTTACTTTTAAACAAGTGAGTCAAAGCTCTTCCTAGTTATATTACCCCTGCTTTATACTAACTTATTTTTTTAACCAATAAGTATTTTTGACAGTATCTGGGTTTATTGATTGTCTTCTTCCTGTTTTACTCCATATATTTTCATTTTCTGTCTACCCAAGCACTATTTTCAAGTTCAGAATGGAGAAGAGAAATGGGACAAATGAGGGGGAAATGGGGAAGAGCAAGGAGGAAAATTGCTGTGAAGGGAAAGAACAGTGAGCCCCCCTCCCAAACCAGAAAAATTTCTGTTTTCACAACGAGACTTTCAGTTCTGCAGTTCTCTCAGGGCTGGCAGAAATAAGAGTGGTCTGCTGCCTAATCCAGGTTTCAACCCAGTCCATGCTTCTCACCGCAGTAGACTCTTGCATTTTAAGGATATCTTGTTTTTAAAATAGTAGCTATTTTCAATATATTTAACAGGTGTCTGTTCCCAATTCCTCAAATAAACAGAAATTGTAGTATGCACAAAAGGAGCCGAATGAGCACCCTGTAAAAGCTGTACCTGCACTGAAGAATGTGAAAGATTGTATAGCCCCAGCAAGGATATAACAAAATAGTGAGCTGCTTTAGCCCTACAGAAAGATGTGCTACAATATCTCCCTAGCCAATCAGTAGTACTGCGAGCCTCAGCCCAGGAAACCCTTTAAAGTACAGTATGTGTGAACACTACAACAGAGACTTTCTCATTGCTGCTCTTTCTTTTTTTTCCCTTCTCTATGATCACAGGATGGCAAGGCAGATGTGAAAGTACTCATGGCAAAATTTAATGCAGGTAACAGCCCCGCAGAAGATGTTTCTGGAAACAGCCGACCCTTCAAAGTCCCAGGACAACCCATCCATTCAGGATTATAAGTAAGGAAAGAAGCACTTGAGAAATTTGCAAGTCAAGGAAATGCAGCATCTCCTTCAGGACCCAAGGCCTTTCACAAGCCTGTTCACTCTAAGCCTCCTCTGGGGGTCAAGCCTCCTGCTGATGATAAAACAGAAAAGGATCCTAAGCCCCTGTATTTGAAACCAGTGGCACAAAGGTTTGGGGTTCAGCTTCAGGCAACTAGCAGAGAAAATGATGGAAAAGCTGGATGCCCTAAGACCCCCACCAAATACAGTGACTTGCCAAAAGAGCCAAAGCCTCTGTATCCAAAACCTCCAGGGAACAAGTTTCTTTCTCCTCAAGAGAAAGAAAAGCAGCCTTGGGGATCCAAACCAAATTCGAATTTTGCATCACAGGAGAATGAGCCAGCAGTATTTTCCAAAGTAGCTGGAGTTAAGGAAAAATTCACTGCTGCAACACAAGAAAATGAGCCTAAGCCTCATTTCTCTAAACCACCTCTGGCACAGAAACCTTCTGTAAACCATGAAGTCTCTCATAATGAAGACGCTTCTAATAGAAATGCTTTTCTGCATAAAGGGACATCAGGCCCAAGACCAAAAATAAACTCATTTAGAGCAGCAAAGGAAGCAGACAAAGATAGTAACAACACTGCTGAAGCTGTCAGCAATCACAGTCATTCTTCCAATATGTCTCTGAAACCTACTGGCAATTGGACCAGTTCATCTCAAGTCACCCCCCAAAATGTGGAGGAGAAGCCTGAAGAAAAGGGAGTGAGTGCAGTCAAGAACATCTTCCTCAACAAAATCAGCCAGGAAGAATCTGTTTCTTCTCCCTCCAAGTTCCTTAAGACAAACCCCATGTATGCTGCAGGCTGCTTACCAGAGGGATCACAAGAAAAAGAGGAGAGAGACAAGAACTTGGCCATCCCGAAGCGGAAGGCTTTGCCCCCGCTGTTCACCCTGGGCCAGCCCCCACAGAAGCCCAGCAGACCCCCAAATGTGGACCTGGAAAAGTTCAGGAAGAACAGCACAAAAGACAGTAAGTCTTCTTTGTTGTTGTTTTCTTGGGAATTTGGAGTTTTTTTTACCCATTTAGAATTGTTGATTTAAGGTGAAATCCTCTCTTCTATCCAGACACAATCTGTATGTCAGACAAATCGCCTTTAAAGCTGTAACCTCTGCTTGTGTCTCTTCACAGAATCACAGAATGGTTAAGGTTGGAAGGGACCTCTAGAGACCATCTAGTCCAACCCCTCTGCTCCAGCAGGGACACTTAGAGCATGTAGCACAGGAAACAATCTAAAATCATATTCTCCCTCCCACAGGGATTTAAAGTGTAGAGGAATGATTTCTGCATTTTTTTTTATTTTATTGAAAAGTAATTAGATGTGACTGTAACTTACATCAAGCAGTTTGAGTATTTCTCTCGACAGACACTTAAGTTCTGACTTCCTTTAAATGAGGTGTTGCTCTACCACGTCCTATTCTCAAAAGTCGCTTCCTGGGCAGCACAGCTTAATGGCTATCTAAATGATATACTACAACTTGTAGCAACCACACTTTTTTTTTCTTTTTTCTTTTGACAATGATTAATCACAATAAGAGCCTATAAAATGCTACATTTTAAAGCATGTCTAGAAAGCCGAACACTACATAAAGCTACAGAATCAAATGCTGCACTGGCTCCACATGGAGCTGCTTGAGTTTTAAAATCAAATCTCAGTCCAGATTCTATAAACAGCTTGTGCACTTAGTGTCTCTGTGAGATTTTCAGGATTTCAGCAGCTTGTAGCAGCTGAGACTCTGCCTCTCTATTTCAGTGAAGATTAAAGATTCTGAGCTTTCTCATCATTGGGATCCAGGCATGAACACTGAGGCTTGTGACTGGGTTTATGTAAAAACTGTGTGTGTGTGAGATGAGATGAGAGATTCTTTAACACATTTGAAATATTTGGGAGCATCTATTTTCTTGTACAAAATCTCCTTAGAGTAACATCCATTTCTATGAACAAAAGAAATTGGTGTGGCTCTGCTCCTTCCAAGAGTTCTGCTTCAGAACATGCCTTTCACCACATAAGATCAGTTGCAACAAATATATAAATTGTTTCTGGGGCACTCAAAAAGATTCCACTGAAAATCTGAGTCCATAATTTGAATATATGATTTCTTAAAGTTAGAACCAGAAATTTTGTGTCACCGTGTAAAAGGAGAGATGCATTTTTCAAAGGTTCTCAATGTCCTTCACTTTCTTATCAAGCACACGCAGTTAAAATTTTGGGTTAAGGACTCCGCCTCCCTTGCTAAGTATCTTAAGAATTCTTTGGCAATTTTAAAATCAGCTACCTGTATCTCTAACTGGAATGGGTGACTTCAGAGGCCACACTTCTATCACAAGCCTTGTGGTAGCCGAAAGGGGCTTTCTCTTTTTTCTGAGTGTATTAGACCCTAGAACAACGGTTACATAAGAAACGTCGCAGAGGAAAGCTGTTCTTGATCTGACTGCATCTTGAGAAGCAAAGACAAAAAAATATTATTGTGTTTTGTTTTGTTTTGTAATGAATAGAGTAGAGGGGCAGGATCACCTCCTTCGACCTGCTGGAGACACTCTTCTTAATGCACCCCAGGATCCCATTGGCCTTCTTGGCCACGAGGGCACACTGCTGCCTCATGGTCAACTTGTCCTCCACCATGACACCCAGGTCTTTCTCTGCAGAGCTGCTCTCCAGAAGGTCAGTCCCCAGCCTGTACTGGTCTCTGGAGTTATTCCTCCCCAGGTGCAGGACCTTGCACTTGGCCTTGTTGAATTGCATGAGGTTTTTCACCACCCAGTTGTCCAGTCTGTCCAGGTCCCTCTGGATGGCAGTGCAGCCCTCTGGGTCAGCTGCTCCTCCCAGTTTGGTATCATCAGCAAACTTGCTGAGGGAGCACTCTGTGCCTTCATCCAGGTCATTGATAAATAAATTGAACAGGACTGGACCAAGGACTGACCCCTGGGGGACACCGCTAGCTACAGGCCTCTGATCAAGGCTGAAAAACACCCTGGACTGTAATTAATTGCAAAAAGTTGGTGTTTGGATTATTTTTTGAATACGAGCTTGTTTTTTTCTGCTTATTTTCCCATGCAGCTTCTGTTACAATGTACCTTTCATCCTATTTTCTTTAAAATTGAGGAATAGAAATATAAATTCTAGACACTTAAAATGAAGACAGAAGTTGACGCGTGAATACGGTTATAGGAATAATACCAGAACTGTTGCCAGAAAGAGAATCTCAAGTGGGCACTGAGCAGCCTGAATGCAGCCACAGGCCGCACGATTTGCTCTGCAAAGGGGTGCAGAGCTGTGAGCAGGTTGCAGACTGCAGGCCTGCATGAGGAGAAAGGATAAATGGGTAAGATGGAGAAAAAGCAGTAAGGAAAATACAGAGTGTCAATTGCATTGCCAAAGACATTACCATACTCCGTTGGCAAAGCAGTTATTGATTAATACCACTCCTGACTATGGTGAATGTCTTAACTGTCTGTGCAAACCCATTAGAACCAGCCAATTATTGCTTGCAATAATTGTGGCAAAAACTTGTGGCAAGATTAAATAACAGACTCCAAAATTATAAAGAATATATATATATATATATTTATCACAGGATGTCACTGCTGTTTAGGCAGCATGGTTTTAAACAAAAGAACTACCGTGTTGTCAAATAGCTTAAAAGTTGATTCGTGAATATTTTCAGGCATAGAAGTACCAGTTTACAGGCTCCATTATCTTTAGAGTTATGCATTGTTGTGACCACTAAGCTAATGGTCAGGTGTTTTATTAAAATGCTTATGACTCATTTCCAGTATTCTCTACTGGAATATAATTATTCTTATTATAATTCTTAAAAATCTTGTTATAATTACTCTATACTATTGTAGAAGCAGGACTGAAAAGGTCACTGTGTGTTTCATTTATTTACTTCAGTGCTAGATTCAATAAAGTTACCCAACAGCTCAATACTAAGATGTAAGGCATTAAAAAGAATTGCAGCTTAAGGGAGATCATCTGTTTCTAAGACAGCTGAAACTGAAACTAGTCGATGATATCAAACAATACAGCTCAGGGTAGGGTAATAGTAGAATATGTCATGTCTATTTATGAGTATGAATTATAGCATGTCATAAAAACATAATGCCTTTATTTTGATTGCTCATAGCTAAAATGTTAAGCTTTAACTTCCAAACTATACCAAAAAAAGACATTGTGGAGATTTTAAAAATAAGATATTCAAGTCTTTTTGCCTGATTTTTTTATTAGATTTCATGATGTTGATGTCTATTAATCTTGATCCACCATGAATTTATCTAGAAACTATGGATTTGAAGTTAAATTTGTTATAAATATGTAACTTAACTGGATCTGCTGACAGCAACTAAAACTTTGGAGTAGTAGTTGCACGTAACTCCTAGTGAAAAGCAAAGCAGAAGCTCTTTGGCTTTCTTCTATGGATATGGCTCTCCTCCAAATGCAAGAGATCCCCAAATATTCTTTTTCAGCAGCTCTGCACTGAGACACTGTGCATCTCCAAAAGCCAAGACAATCAAAATTTGAAGTTCCTAGAACTGAAATAAGATCCTCAGCTCAGATACAAAGTTGTATATTTATCATGAAAATCAGACCACACAGTATGAAATCCTCTAGCATACATATTAGGTACAAGTGCAATGACATCATGTGTGGTTCTGGCCCCAAATAAGTTGTCTGATTCATTGAATTGGTAAATGATTTTCAGAAAGGATATTTGAATTACTTTATAATTTTAATATTATTTCTTTGGCCATCTTTCAGTAATACATTTTTCATTTTTAACAAACCAGTAGAATTATTTTTCCCTCAATCTGTTTGCTTCATGCTCACATCTTCGTTACTAGACTATAAATAAATGCATCATAATTATAGAATGCGCATTTAAGATTTTTTTTTTCAATAAACAGTGGCTGGATACATGCCTTCAATCTGCTTCAATAGAGAAAGTTTGGTTTAAATTTTTTTAAGAGCCTTGCAGCAAACAATGACTATTAATACTGTAGAGGATATCCTGCCCCACTGAAGTTTTAGATGATTTGGCTTTAAGAGATCAAGTATTTCTTCTATGCTTCTGCTAAAATATGAGGAGAGATTACAAATTAATTTGGTAGTATGGTTGCAGCACCAAGAAAGTTAAATTATTGCAATTTTAAAAAATTACATAACAATCCAGAGTGGAAAAAAAAAACTAAAAAGACAACTTATTAATCTAAACCAAAATATAGATAAAATAAGTCTTGATTGAAAGCAATTTTTAGTATTTCACTGGAGAAGATTGTTCTGGGTACGACTTGCTGTGCTAGTGCTAGTGTGTTAGGAAGCAAAAGTACACAAAAATTACTACATCTTAAAAACATTGCTAAAAACATTTGGTTTTAGATTCATTGCCTTTGATTATTTCCTTAGCTACAGTGACTTGCAGTATCTTTCAAATAAGGCAATACATGTTTTCAGTTAAAAAGCAAATAAATGTATCTGTTAAAATGCCATCAAAGGACAATTCATTCATAGAACCTGACTACCTTCATTTTTGTTTGCTAGACCTTCTATAGCTTACTTGTTGCCTTCCCGAAGATCTGGTTGTAGTAAAATTACTAGTAAGATGTGGATTGCTTATTTCATAGTATTAATGATAGGCACAGAGATATGTTTTCCTCATGTTTGCAGCTGTAGTCTGTCTATGTATGGATTCTAGGGTCATTCCTGCAGCTGATTGATTGTGCTGAATCACACGAGTGGTTCTGCTACAGTAGTTCTATCCACTGCCACGAGTATTCTGGAGTTTGCCCCAGCTCAGAAAATAATTCAAACACAAATTATTTGAAAAAATTTAAGTTAAAATTTAAAAAGAATGATATTAGTTGTGTAAATTTTTCTCATTTTTTAAAGTTCCTACATATTTTGCTGAAAATCTGCATTGCAAATGATTGTAGCAATGCAGTGTATCCAGAATGCCACACTACTTTGTAGGCACTTTGCACATGTGCAGTAATGTATGGTACAGCTGGAAAAAGATACTTGAAGATGCTTAAAGATATTCTGGTTTTGAAGCTCTGGACACATTGATAGTACTGTTTTTGGAGAGTGTATCTTGAACCTTAAAATTTTTAAGTTTAGCTAGCTTGAATGAATGCTTGGTATATAGTTTTAAATTTAAATTCCAAAAGTGTAGCTTTTAGAGGGAAAGCTGGGCTATTTTTTATTTTCCATGACCAAGCAAAAGGGAACAGACATGACAAGTAGGTCAGATTTGCTGCAGCAAGACTTGCAATGCTCTGGAAAACCTTAGCAGCAATTCATATTAATTTTATTGAAAGTCTGGTTTTAAAGCTACTTTAGTTTGTCTCAGTATCCCAGTAGCTATCAAAAAAAGATTTAAGCACATCACTGTCGTATTTAAATAGTTTAACTAGGAAATGTCATTTAACTGTGGTTGATTTGGTCTGTATAGGGCATGTGGTCTGTAGAGGGGACACAAACTAAGTAGCTTTTTGTGTGTGCAAATGGAAAAAAACATATTGATAATGCTCAGTCATTCTCCTGAACAAGACTTTGCTCCATCTTGTCTCTCTCCCACACTCCTGAAGTTTCCTAGTGATGAAGTTGCTAATAACATAATCACTAATAATCAATAACATAACTCTATTCTTCCCGAGCATACATGGGCTTTATTTTTGCCTGATTACTTCTAGGCCTTCAGCTGCTGTTTCTAAGCAGCTTTCACAATGGTCAGCAAGAATCTCTGCCTGTCAATGGAATCAAAAATAATAGGTCCCACCGGACAGCTCTAGGTGCCTATCGATAGTCTGGCCCAGTGATGCCTCCCAAGGTGATGAGGTCCCCAGCGAGGCAGTCTCTGCTGTCCTGTGCTCAGGAGACACTGAGCACCTCACAGAGTGCTGGGTGTTGAGGGTGAGAGCTGCCATTTCCACCACAAGAAGGGGTTGTTAGATTCCAGTAGTTCATGCACAATTTGCTTTCACGGTGGTCCCTCCATGTTTTAGGTGAGAAGGACTCCTCTGGCCAAGTTCTGGTCTCGCACACGTCTGAGATAGGGTCAGTATCTGACCCAGTATCAGTATTACCACTGATTCCATAATTTCTACTAAAAATATACTAGAATTTATGTCAAATTTAACTCTTACTATTCTGTATTCATCCTTGTGCACACAGAACTGAATGTTATTATTAGCAAGCAACGTTAAAAAGTTTCTTTTTATTAAGTATCCTCTCAAGGGCACAAGAAAGAAGGAACAATGAAAACAATCGTAGTAAAAACAATTCAAAACTAAACTGAAAACTCAGATTTTACCTTTTCATGGAATACTTTCGGGAATCTAATGTGAAATGCCAAAATGAACATTTTTTTTCTGAGTTTTTCAGAAAAATTTCTTATAGAATTTAATTAGATATGTTATGGGAGAGGATGGCTATATGCACTGAACATGGCCTTCCACTGAAATTGGTATGAGAACCTTTTTTCTCAAGTGATACAGGCTTATATGGGAGATTTATATAATTCCTATTTTGAAAGGCAATAAACTCTTATGCTTAAATCTTTTATGCCTAGGCAAGACATGTTTTTCAAAAAATTATTTTTGTCAAGATCTGTTCCGGATGGGCTCGGGATTCAGCAATAATCACGCCAGAACGAGGTGACTACATGGAGCATTTATTCAGGTGAAAGCACATAAAATAAGCCAAGTATGGATAGCTACTCCCGAGGTGATACCTGCTGATCTGGGCCCGAACATCCTCTCGAGCTGGCAGATCAGAGAGAGAGAGAGTTGCTGACCGGCTCCTGCGGAGACAGCGTAGGCCTCAGAGTTTGGAGTTTCTCCTTCCCCCTGCTCTCTCCGCACTGCCCACTTCTATGCCCAGTGCATCCTGGCACGTAGAGTCCCTATGACCCAGGAGGCAGGCCGGGGGGTGGACAAACTCCACCTCTAGTTGTGCAACTCTCCCAGGCAGGCGCGCAGGCAGGCCAAGCCCTCAATTCGAGGGTCCTGCCTTCCTCCTCTTCTTCCTCATTTCTGGGTGTTTGGCCTCCAAAGCTAGTTTGGAGGACGTCTGCGGTTAAGTTGGCTACAAGCCC